TTCTTTAGCTTGACTAAGCCCATCTTTCTTTCTTTCTCTCTTCTCTCTCTCTCTCTTCTCTCTCTCTCTCTCTCTCTCTCTCTCTCTCTCTCTCTCTCTCTCTCTCTCTCTTCTCTCTCTCTCTCTCTCTCTCTTCGTCTCTCTTTCTTCTCTCCTTTCCTTTCCTCCCTCCCTCCCTCCCCCTCTCTCTCTTAATATCTTTCTGTTTCTTTCTCTTTTTCTCTTTCTCTCTCTTTCTATCAATATCGCTTTCTCTCCCTTTTTCTTTCTTGTTTTTGTAAAAGTAACAACTAAACTTGATCTCGGGTCACTGGAGAACCATGATCTGACCTACTGACCGTGACCTCTGACCTGTCCTGTCCCTATTGTGAGTCGTAAATACACCACGTGGTTGTTAAAAGTTCTATTTTCGATTGTTTTTTATTTATTTATTTTGATACTGGGAAATAAATGTTAGACTTAAATGAGGAAAGTAATAAATTTGTATATCAGAGAAAAAACACATTCAGATGGTGGCTACAAGTCCAATCTCACAGGGTAATATTTTGACCTATCCATGCTTTTCCATCTGTCAACCTACACTATGCAGGTTTCTTGTATCGCAAGCAGATATAAGAATACACGTGGAAAGATAAAAAAAGAATATGTAATTCTATTTGGTTGTTGACTGTCCTACGGGGTACATCCTCAGAACACGAGATGTGAACGAACACATTTTTTTTTTCCTTTTAATTCGTAATTTTACCCTTGGCGTAAACTTAAAACTTCCCCGGCACATGTGAATGGCGTATCACATTATCACAATCACAAACCCTTATTTCGCCACTAACACGAGCACTCTGATATCCCGCCATATTTATGTATGTGCAGAAAAAAAATAAGCAAGGTCTTTCTCACTTGCCAGCCATTTGTCCCCCAACATATCAGATAACAAGCTCGCATCCAGCTTGGTGTAATCATCTCATTCGGGTAATTGAACAGACGGCAGTTTCCATAGTCGTATGGAAGAATTCGCGAGAGCAGAAACAAGGTGGCGGAATCCACGCACTTGCTGAGGTTAGGCCGCTGTATAGTCCTATTTGGTTTTATTGACAGCGATGCACAGTTCTTCGCTCGTCTAATGGGAAACCCACACACGTAAGCCGCAACAGATTTACAATGTAACCAACAGTCGTCGCCTGGTATTCGTGTGGCAGAGGGCGCTGGGTTTGCTTATTTTCTCTCTCCTGTAGGTGTTGTTGTTTTTTTTTTCCTTTTTTCTTCTTCTTCTTGTGGCTGACGTAGAGGGTTTGTTTGTTTTCCTGTTCGACTGTTTGGTTTGTGTTTTTGCTTTTTTTTTATGATCCTTCGTGAGTCATATTCTTTTTTCTTTTAGCAAGGAGGTAAAAAAAACTAACCTTGGGGTGCATCCGAGTTCCCTGTTAGCTTTAATAGTGGGTGTTAATAATGGATTAATATATCTATTGTCTCATTGTCATCATCATCGCCGTTACTATTTTTGAATATAGTATCATTACTGCATTATTACCGTTATTCTGATATATGTAACTTGCTGTTGCTACTGCTAATTATAATCACTATTATCGTTTTTAGTCTTCTTATCCCCAATTACCCTATTAATGTTATCATTATCATATATCAGTAACGGAAAGATCTTCAATACTTAAGCCTAACCTTTTGCAAGCATCTATGAATCGTAGCTCGAGATCACCATCTGTGTGGTTGAGATGACAGATACCAGTTGTAAGCTTTTTATACACACACACACACACACACACGCACGGCACGCACTTACTCACCGCACACGAACGCACGCACACGAACGCACGCATGACCACCGCACGCACCAACCCACACACACACACACACACACACACACACACACACACACACACACACACACACACACACACCACACCACACACACACACACACCACACACACCACACACTAACACACACCTCCCCCCCCACCCACACACACGCACACACACTAACATCCAAACACTCACACACACACACACACGCACGTGCAGGTGTGCGTGCGCATCCCAATAACCAGTCATGGGGGAGTCTTGTCGGTCGCGATGGGTCCCTCGCGCCACAGTTGTCCAAGATACGTGACAGATTTCCACGTCAAATGCGTTCCGGGGTTCTGTTAGTTGCAGCTGGTGTCCCCCCCCCCTGTGGTTCGCGTCAGATTACGTGGAATGCACTTTTACACTTATGCAAGTTTAGGCTTCGTACTGTGTGTGTGTGTTGTGGCTCTTTTTTCTCTGCCACACTGATTGTCTTTTTTGTTGTTGTTGTTGTTGGGAGGAATGGTTTTCCCTCTGGTATGCTCTCTTCTTTATCTTCTCTCTCTGTCTGTCTCTGCCTCTCTCTCTCTCTCTTTCTTTCTTCTTTCCCCTCTTTCTTCTTTCCCCTCTTTCTTCTCTCCCCTCTTTCTTCTCTCCCCTCTGTCTTCCTCTCCCCTCTGTCTTCCTCTCCCCTCGGTTTTCCTCTCCCCTCTGTCTTCCTCTCCCCTCTGTCTTCCTCTCCCCTCTGTCTTCCTCTCCCCTCGGTTTTCCTCTCCCCTTTTCGTCTTCCCTTTTCTCTATACCTCGCTTTTCTTTTTCTCCTATTTGCCTCCTTTTCTCGCTGTGCTTCTCGTATATTTACACCTTCGGCGCCACTTCCAACGTGAACGATTTCCATCTAAGGATCGACCACGTTCGCAAGTTCAATCAGCTACGAATACTGGACATTTAAGGAATCAAAGCAGAACATTGACGATAAACAAGGACTTACCCAATTACTGCGTTCGGATGAGACTTGTGTTCGTCGACTTGGTGCTTCGTTTTTGATTTCCGAAGTCGAGGGACTGTTGTGAAACTTCAGACATTAGCACGATCGAATCGCCAGGTTAAACTTTGCTTAGGCTTACGTAAGCGGAATGTGCAAACGTTTTTTTCCTTTTCTGCACTTTTCGTGGTGTGTGTTTTAGGTATATACGGGTTTTTCTATCGGTCAGTTTCAGTGTTTCCGATGTTCTGTGACCCTGGCTCGCACTCGCGTCTCGGTCAGTTGACACTATAGTTCATATTTAATGTCCTTCAGTCTCCCACGATACCTGTTTTTTGTAATGAAAAGCCTCAAACGGAATCCACATTAACACAACACCCAACAGAATATCAGAGGTTCACCACAGGCAGACGGGTTCATAGTACAATCAGAAGGGCAATGTGTCATTGAGGTGTAAGGGTCATCTGATGGTTTGCAGTTGCCGAGCAGGAGGGTGACGCATCTTCTCCCCTTCGCTACACACTCAACACTGCCCCACAAGCTCTTCGTGTCACACATCTTAACTGTCTGAGTGCAACCCTGTGGGAGGGGCTGGGCAGATTCACCATGTAAGAAGCGGATGTGAAAAAAGTGGGTGTTAAAAATTAATACGGGGGAATGAGGGTACGTTTGTATTCTCTTTGTCTCTTATTTTCTTTTCTTATACTTCCCTTTTTTATTTCCCTACCATTATTTATATTGTTGCTACTGTTCTTTCTCATTTTCTTCTGCTGCTTCTTTCCTATCCCTTTAGTTCTGCTTCCTTTTTCTATATCTTTAGTTCTGCTTCGTTCCTCTTTCGGTACTTCTGCCTCTCTTATCTGTACTACTATTACTACTACTTGTAACTATTATGAATGACCCTCAGTCAGCTATGCCGGCCATTTCTTCTACAGCTGCTGCTACTTCTGCTACATAATAAAACAACTACATAAACGACACTTTCTTCCTCTTCTCATTCTTTGTTTTTTACACTCTTCATCAGCAGAACCATATGGATAGTTTCTCAACCTTTGACCTCCAGAGAACCCCCAATTAAAAGCAGAGAGAACGGGTATAACACAAACCACAATGGGGTCCGGAAAATCCTTTTTTTTTTTTTAGGCTCGCAGTCCCTCAACGCTGCTCCACTGTTATACATGGCAATAAGAACTTTAATGTCTTATTAAGTAAAGATGTTGCAAGTTGGTAGCTTTGCTCTTGAGTCTGAAGGGTCAAAAATTTTATGACGCAACAAGGGCCGCCACTGATGCAGCTGACGAGATGTAAATATGCTATGACCCATTGCTCTCTTACCTTTTGTCATAATACACAGGATGTCGGGAATTTGAACCACAGACTGTTTGGGGATACGCTTAAAACACACATAGATGTATTTTTCAAGTATGATAGTGAAGCACTGTACTCGATACTTTAAAAAAGGTACTATGTGTACCCTTGCTTTAATTTTTTTTTTTTCTTCTTGCATCGAGACACATCTGGTGGGTATCAAGTTATATTGATTGTCATTACAAAGCATCAACTTTTATGTTTTTGTCCCCTTTATTTTTCTTCTTTTTGTCGATGCATGGGAATACATTAGCATACAGCTGTGTATGTGTCTACAAAGTGTTAATGACATGTGTACTTCACGTAGAAGTTGGTGTATCTAGGATGTTTGTGTGTGGAGAAGGTTGATAGGTTGGATATTTGGTTGGTAAATAGACTAATGTCTCTCTCTCTCTTCCCCCCCAATCTCTCTCTCCCTCTCTCTCTCTCTCTCTCTCTCTNATTATTATTATTATTATTATTATTATTATTATTATTGTTATTATTATTATTATTATTATTACTGCTGTTGAGATTACTCAACAGCTATTAACAGCACTACCAGCAAAAAGTTGTTTCTTTCCCCAAAATCAAGGAAAATGATAAACAGGTGTGATCAATTTGTAATTTTAACAGACTAAAAATTGAAGTGGACATCTACATGCCACCATGGTGTAAGCAAGTTAATGGATGTTTGCCAGAAACTTTCTTATATATTTATTTGCTAGTATTTTTTCCTTATAGAACACTTATATGTGGATGAGAAATTTCAAATGACAAGCTGTTAGGTATCATATTTTTTTTCTTTATCTGTCGTTTATCTTGTTTTATAATATTTATTATAATATTTAGATTTCTTTTTTTTCCAAG